TTTCTGTGATAATCTAGTTGTCCTTTGCAGACAGGTAAGTCTGTTATATAAGTTTGTTTTATACATACATACATACATACATACATACATACATACATATGGCTGAAATACTGCCGATGTGTACTTACACACACACACACTCCATGATCTGGCGGATCGAGCGTCTGCCACAACATTCGAGGTTCATCCCCGGCATACGACATACCCAAAGACACAAAAGGTACATACATATTACATACATACATACATACATACATACATACATAAATACATACATACATTTGTATAGCGCCAATATCCAGCTCAGCTCAGTTGCTCAAAGGCGCTTAGTTTTTAATAAGGTCAAGCTAACACCGCGGTAATGATTAATCTTGTTATCAAATAGCTGATAGTTGGGCGACAGCAATGACAATCTAAACCTCGACCCACTGCAAAAAAATAGTATACAGTCACATTTGGTTGTAGCATGTTTGCTTTGGGCTATATCATGCCTTATAAGGTATTGAAAACATTTGTCATTAGTCAGCAGGGTTTTCAATCTCCGGGACTGTATGAGAGTTTGGCTACAACAACGGAAACACTATCGCAGGAAAAAATACATGTACAAAAACAAAACTGCAATCGTTATACAGTGTTGAAACTTTAAGGTCACCGTGTATTTGTCAAGCTTATACATGTGACTAGCAATTGTTACAGTGCGATTATTTCACATTTTATGTGTTTGTAATTAATATGTGAGAGATATTTTTTCCACATTCCAAGGTTTTCTACCTATTTTTATATCTGTTTTATTACCCGTGTTGCATTGGAATATGCTTGTCGTGGAGGAAATATTAAATAGGACAAGATAGTAAGAAACCTTTGTCGACAAGAGATTAGGTGTTAGTGGGTGAGTGAATATCTGTAAATAATGTCTGTAAATAATAGCGTCTGGACCAGACAATCCAGTGATCAACATGAGCATCGATCTGCGCAATTGGGAACCTATGACATGTGTTAACCAAGTCAGCGAGCCTGACCACCCAATCCCGTAAGTCGCCTCTTACGACAAGCATGGGTTACTGAAGATCAATATTCTAACATTCACGGGTCAGGCGTTAGTCGTTGTATATACATACACGAAGTACATACTTTGAAGCGTATGGTAAACAAAGACGAACAAGGGGAAATGTAACCGTTTATCTCTCTGTGTGTGTGTGTTAGTGTGTTGTGTGTGTGTGTGTGTGTTAGTGTGTGTGTGTGTGTGTGTGTGTGTGTGTGCGCGCGTGTTTGTGTGATTTGAATTTGAATGTTACTTTTTAAAAGAAAGGTATTATATGATTTTATACATTTTACATACACTGACTACATGTGAGTGTAATCGTAATACCTGGCGTAAGGTAATGAATTGCCATGTGTTTCCAACTGAAGTTTCTTTCGTATACATGTATATGTATTCGTTTCACCTTTCTTTCTTTGTGATGTATACTATATGTGGTGAAGGATCACGGTAACTGAACATAGAGGCCCCCACTGGAGTGGGGAATGAAGAAATGGTAGCTACCAAGTGACACAATGTGGTTGGTTTCTCATCGTTTATTTTGAAACAGTGTAGTGCTTGTCTACAAATATACCCAAAGTACCAAAATATAGCTCATGTTGATAATACATTGTTTGGAAGCTGAAATATATTATTTACTTATTAGAACTGAAGCTAAAATAGACATATAAATAAAAACATTTTCAGTTAAACTACATCGAATCAGATACATTTATGATATTACATATACCGGTTAAATAATGTACTGTAAGTTATGTCATGAACTCTTCTAAACGTTAAATGATTATTTACTTTTAATTGGCTTATCATTGTTGATGTTCTACATCAAACTAAACAGGTAACGTGATTACAGTTTGGATGTATTCTCACTGTGCTTATGTACTGTCTGTACTTTAAATAAGGAATGAAACGAAGAAACGGTTAATCACTTTTGTATATTTTAATGTACTGTGTCTAATAGAACAGGAACATTTCACCAGTAATTTCTATATAGATATGGTAGTGCTACGGTAATTACAAGATTTGTATTCAACTTGTATAATGGCCAAGTTTTGTGTTTATCACAATATAATACAGATAAAACATATGTGAAATATATTTCCAGTAACACTTAGTTTTAAAAAACTTGTATAGTAAGTTTGATGATCAATGTATGCAAATTAGGTTGGCGATTTTCGTGTTCTCCTTGACATCTGGCTTTAGATAGTTTGAATTTTGTGAACAATAAACAATGTTCTAACAATAAAATGACTTATCAATTTTAAAAAAATATATCATTTCCAGTTATCAGTTGGTGCACATTTCGTGAGAATAGGTGGTAAACCTCTTTCTAATACTAAAACTATTTCTGGGTAAAAGTACAGATATTCTGCTGCTTACAAGGAAAGAGAAACACTAAAAATATTTTAGTTTACTAGATGAAACAAATCTACACCATAGGTGGCTGTGGAATTGGTGTGTAAAACAGATCAATACACCATTTCATCTTCTTCTACTATTGGACAGATGCCTAAAATTCCAGGTTTGAAACTTGAATAGTTTGTAATATCCGGTGCACTGGATCAAATGGAAAATAATGTTTTAATAGAGTTAAACATAGAGTTAGTTGGCTTAAATGCCGCTTTGAGTGAGTAGGAAGTAAAATGTAGATCACATCGCTGAATAAAACATACCTGTCACAAAGGTAAAACACCAGCAAGATATCACAAAATTCGTGTCTTAAACTAACCATTTCCAATTCTAAAATATTCTGTTCAGCACATATATCACCAGCAACCGTCTCATCACCCTATTGGGAATTACGCTGCTTTGAATAGTTACATCGCAGTGAGTCACCTGAGGTTGGAGTAAGCCCGAATTCATGGAGGTCATAGGTTTGCATGTGCATAGGCGTAGTCATTTGAAGATGAGGTAATGACCTCACCAACGACTTTATGCGACTTCGGTACAAACATAGTCTAAGGAATCTTATGTCTCAATTTGAGATCTGTAGACAATGATTTCCATCTTTTTCCCAAGAAAAGGGTAGCATAAAATAGACTGCAGCAAATCAGAAATGTTGGAAGTTCGTCGCCAATTCTTAGAACATACGACATAGTTCACTAGGTGGGTAACTCATTATTCTTAGTGAGTGAGTTAAGATTTATAGTCACATCAGCAATATTTCAGTCATATCGTGACTTAAAAAGTTATAAATTGAAAATAAATGAAATTAGATTACAAAAACCTGTCGACGAAGGACAGTAAATTAACTAGATTATCACAGATGGAAACGTAAAACCAGTAATCAAATCTAAAACATTTTAACTACAGAGGACAACACAATATAAAAGCAGGCTATATATTGCCAACAACTGAAGGTAGATCACCATACTAGGGACTCATTATTCTTAACTCGTAGGTAATTGTCTACATGGGTCACCTTGTTGGCGTGGTCACAGACCTGTATCGGTGGAGAAAACAACTGGCGACATATTCAATGACGTTCTTATCCATGGTCAATGTTATTGTGGGGAATGTACAGCCGGTGTCAATACAGACAATAGTGTTAGGAGAATGTGACCAACAGTTCTATATTTGTTAAGCAATCTATCAGGGACTAAAATGCATCTCCCAACTCTGAAGTGACCTCTGAAGAGACTAGTGAAAAGTTTAAGTTGTGTGTCAAGTACTGTTTGGAGTTCTTGAACAGTAACCACACGGTTATTACTCGACCTTTAGGACATGGCCACTGCGCCGGAAAGAAGAGTTGAGTTGAGTTTTTAGTTTTACGCCGCTTTTAGCATTATTCTAGGAATATCACGTCGGAGGACACCAGAAATGGGCTTCACAACCGGGGTCCTCGGCGTGAGCGCCGGAAAGGGCGAGGGTCCGACTCTGCTGGTCCACGGAAACGTCGTTCGATTTGACGTCCCTTCCTCACATACATCCAGAGACAGGAACGTCTGGCGTGGTACAGGCTCCGAGAAAAACGCAACCTGAGGACATGGCGTAGGGTTCATTGGTCTGATGAAAGTTGTCGCGTTTGGAAACGTCGTTATGAGGCCTATCACATGAGATGATACTTGCAGCTGAACTCTTTGGTGGTGGCTCAGTGTAGGGTTGTGTTACGTATGACTGCAAGTTTGATCTCCTTACAGTGCATGGGGTCATTCAATGGTCAACGTTATCAATAGTAAGCACTGGTTACCGCCGTAATGCCACATTTTGATAAACATCCCCTTGTCAGCCGTATGACATTCAAGGATGACAAAGCTGGACCTCACTATTTTCCGTCATCGCCTATGGCAGAACAACGCCGTGGAAACATTACCATGGCGGCAATGAGCACAGATATGAACCGTTGAACATCTTTGGAACTATCTAGGGTCGAGGTCTAGGGTATATCTAGGGTCGAGGTCTAGGGTATATCTAGAGGTCGAGGTCTAGGGTATATCTAGAGGTCGAGCAAGAGATCCTCCTGTTCGGAATTTACAGTAATTGACGCACGCATACCGTGAAGAATGGCAGAGGATTCCAATGCTGATATTTCGCCGCTTGACTGCCAGTATGACGTGACTGGCAGATGTTATCCTTGCGAGAGGTGGCTGCACCAGGTACTAACGTGGTCGGCGGTGCTGGTTCATACAATCACAGGAACACTTTAAAACTTTCCTGTATTTTTACAGTAAACTACTGGCAGCTGAGCTGCCAAACTTTTACCGTGAAAAACACGGTATACCGTAACAATAACAGCAATCTGTAATAGTATTTACTGCAAAATATTACAGAACAAAGCCGTAAGAGTTGAGCTCTGAACCTTCGTGTATTTCTACTTACTTTTAAACTTTACTATCAGAATATGAATGGGGAATTACAAAATATATATTACTCGACTCAACCTCAACCTAATTCCATCCAACCTCTTTGATAAGATGCTGCAACCTGATCCATATCTTGTCAACAAAAGAAGACTCAAAGGAAGTTTTAAGCAATTTTATTAAAACAAGAAATACATCCAAGCATAGGACAGACAACTCCCTGTAGGTGACACAATACTCAACATCTGAAAGTAGTTCATTGGGATTAATGGTTGTTCACATAATATAAGAATATAACTGGAGAATGTCCCATATGTATGCTTTCACTTGATGAAAGATGAAAGCAACAGCTCATGCCCGATGTAGGTAAGTGTAAAAAACCAAAACAAAAACAAAACCATGAAATGAACATAAAATTATTTATTTCTTCTCTTCTGTTGGCACTTCTCGTATCAACTGCACATATTCCCACTTCCCCAACATCCACCCCCTCCCCCTACTTGTATGTATGGCCAGTCCCTTAATGCCAATCGACAAGATCTGTCATTATTGTAGCAAGACTCTGCCCACTCAGGCCTCGATCAATTCAAAGTCTGCAACTTCACTGATGAGCTTGAGAACTTTCACACACATGACTGTCTTCTTTCTTTTTCCCTTGCAACCTTTGATCTTTTGTCTGGATTAATGTGGACGAAGCACCTGGAAATTGAAGAAATGACATTGAATCATTGTTTCTGCATTATTAAAAAGTCGTTAAATATTTCACAACCGATCTGGGTCATGTTAGTAGGACTAAGTGAACTAAAGATTACATTTTTAGGAAAAACAGAAAATCTGCAATCATTCTTTCATCTTCTTACTGGAGGTGGGTGGGTCAGTGAGACAGGTCGCACATACTTTTAACACCTACAAACAGACAGGACAAGGATAACAGCTATTATCAGTGAATGTAGGCTTCAAACCCACGATAAATAGAACATGGCTGTTAAGGGACATAGCTCTGTACAACAATTTAAGGTAAACATGCAGAACCGCTGCTCTTTGCTGGGAGTTTTGTTTCAACCTGAATACCAGCATTTCCATAGTTCTAGTGGTCCCAAGCTGTGTGTTAAATTCAACAGTTTGTTAAGATATACGAATCATTACCTCTGTATGAACTCGAGTGTGGCAGCAGTCCCAGTCTAATATGCTATGTTAAACTCATAGATATGACGGCGGACATCATAATATAAGACCGCCTCCGTGGTGTAGTGGTTAGAGCGTCCGCCCGGAGAGCGGAAGGTCGCGGGTTCGATCCCCGACCGCGTCATACCAAAAGACGTTAAAATATGGTACTTGTTGGTCCCTGCCTGGCGCTCGGCATTAATGGGTACAACAAGGACTGGTCGGCTCGGAGTCAGTATAATGTGTCTGAGTGGGGTATTCATGCTTCACTGCAGCGTAGTATCTAAGTGGGCTAGCACTATAAAACCAGCTTCAGTCTGGGCTAGTACAAGAAGCCGCACATACACATACACACGCATGCACGTCGTCATATGAGCGAAATATTCTCAAGCACGACGTTAAACCCAATTTCACCTCACCTCATAATGACATAATGAACATCGATCTACGCATTTGGGTGTCTACCAAGTCAGCGAGCCTGACCACCCGATGCTGCCAGTCGCCGCTTACGGCAAGCATTGGTTAGTCACGGGTTGAATTTGGTTTTCAAAGCTCATACAACGTCTGTAGTGTTTTCAACCTTGTCATATACAAAAGGTGGATGGTGTTTGATTAGTGTACATGTGCATGTGCAATATTTTAATATGTACTTATTTCTGATATGAGAATATGCATCACAGATATAAAACACATGCCATTCATCTTAAACAACGAAGATACCATTTAATTTGCAAAACAGACAATGCCTTTCATTATATACAACATTAATGTATCTACCAGTTTCAACTGCTAGTTTAAAATTACAACACCGAAATCGGGCATATGTAATTTTTAAATATCATTATTTATCAAGTAGCTCTCTACATTTAATAAAGATTTGAATTGCTTATAGTAAAAACATTCATGGCTGCTATCCAAAGATGATTGCCGAGATTGGAATAAATTATCATGTAATCTCTGTTTAATGATTCAATAAATATTTTGTGATCACCAATTTCCTGGCTTATCCAAACAGATCCAAAACCAAATTGAAAAGAATATTTATAATTTTAGTTGCCCATGAATTTTGTGTCCTACCCTGTCTAAAGATAATAGCATAAAATAACATTGTTTTGGTAATCTATAGTCGGCATGTTTAGAAGTCTGCACCAGTATTTCACTGCATTGGTTGTATAAGTAAACTGTAAAGGCACTCTTCCACATTCACCCAAAGTCATATTGTTGAAGGTGGATTTTCCAAGTTTCAAAACATATTTACAAAATTTAATATGGACAGATTCAATAGTATTACAGTAGGATGTGCCCCAGATTTAAGACCCATAACATAGAATGGGTGATATCATACCATCAAAAATCTTAAATATATCTGAACAATTAATGCTGCCAAGTTTCCTTTGGAAATGTTTAACAGAGAATATTGCCGTATTAGCTTGCGATGCAAGGCAAGATGTAGCTTTTCTCCAGGATGATTTAGGAGTGAACATAATTCCAAGGTACTTGTAAAATAATACAGGTTCAATAACATTACCATTATAAAACCAATTTTCATATGAGCGCAAGGGACCACCATTTCTAAACACAATAATCATGGTTTCTATAAATTCGTGCTATACCAGTTTGCTCACAAAATTTACCAAGTACATTAATCATTTTTAGCATTCTGTGCACAGCTATTGCTGACACATCATCAGCAAACATAAGAGAGTAGAGATTGCTAATAGAAGAAGAAACTGTAATACCTTGACCTGTTTCAGGTAATCAGGCTCATTGAGGTGGTTGTTTGCATAATCCGACGGCATGAGACCTTGACCACTGGATTGCCTGTTATAGATTACATTTCTTACATACCACCGTCGCATATCAGTTATATTACTGAGTGGGGCGTTAAACAAACAAAGTTTATCCAATGGTTTGTACTTACTTCCTGGTTTTCAGTGTGTAACGCAGGGATAGAGGGCAGACGGGGTTATCTCCCTTGTATAGCACAGGGACTTAGTTCATGTTCACGGTTTTCATATCTTATAGACCCCCACGTACTTTCACATTCGTTTGTCAACTTGGAGATGTACTTCTTTGAGTGGCATTTAGAAGTTGGTGTGATGTAGAACGAGGAGAGTTCTATGGATATACAACTTCTTTAATATAATATGAGCGACGTTTCGGTGTATCTACTAACACCGTTATCAAGCAAATGATGTACAATACTAGAGGCAAGGTATACTCTCCCAAACAAGAAACGCATATAGGAATTTCAACTGTATTTTTATGTTTATTTTGAAACATCTTGTAGGCTTTATGAGTCAATGAAATATAGCGAAATTGCACACTGGGAATGCAGACTTATCCGTCTTTGGCACCAACTCGAGGAAAGTCAGTTTGAGTGTCACATGGAGACGTGTGGTGGCGCTGAAGTCAATACCTCGTGTAACCACCGTGGGCATCCAGAACTGCACGGCATCGCCTCGGCATCGAACGAATAAGTCTCAGAATCTCGTGTTGCCCAATCGCAGCCCACTCTGCCTGTAGTGCCTGTGCGAGTTGCTGAAGTGTCTGGGGCTGAGGGTTACGGCGTCACACCCGTCTGTCCAGGGCATCCCACAGATGTTCGATCGGGTTTAAGTCCGGTGATCTTGATGGCCAGGGGAGCACATTGATGTTGTGGTTCTGGAGGAAGTCTCTAGTGTGACGTGCTGTGTGGGGCCTGTCATTGTCCTGTTGAAACAACTCCCTCTGGCGATCAATGATTCGAAGGAGGTGTGGGCGTAGGATTTCGTCACAGTACCGTTGAGCTGTCAGGTTGCACTGGATCATCACCAAATCACTTCTCCTACGGCAGGTCATCGCTCCCTACAACATAACACTTCCCCGGTAGAATCTGTCCACCTGGGGAACGCATGCGTCGGCGAAACGTTCACGTCGACGTCTGTACACCCGCATTCTTCCATCGCGTCGTTCCAATAGAAATCGTGATTCATCACTGAACCAGATACTACGCCAATTCGGTAGGTTCCAGGCCTGAACGTTTGTGCACCATTGAACTCGATGTCGACGATGTTGTTGTCGAAGCACAGGGCAAAAATAAGATCTTCTAGCACGTAGACCAGCCTCTCTCAACCTGTTCCTGACGGTCTGTGCAGAAAGCCTCCTCAATCCGGGTATTTGTCGAGCGGTACTGGTCGTCGTAGCTGTTCGATAATGCAGGTGATGTACCCGGATGTAGCGATCCTGCGCCGCAGTGGTCGCTCGAGGTCGCCCACTACGAGGGGCATCTGCTACCGCATTCTGCCAGCGATATCTCTCCCAGAGCCGTGAAATGGTGCTTTTGTGAACATTCATGCGTCGGGCAACCGCACGTTGAGACTGGCCAGCTCCAAGCAAACCAATGGCAATATGACGGTTGGCTTCACTTAGACGTGGCATTTTGCGTTCGTCAACAATATTCCAAATACAGTGAATAATCGACAGACAGCGATCAGCCTTTTATACCCATCATTGAGACTATCTGATCCCCAACTTTCACGTGCATTGCATGTGAATTGTGTGTTCTGTGACACAACACGCCGAAATTGAAAATCATGCTGTTAAATATGGGTATTTTACGGATGGTGCGTTTTGTTGTGATGTTACAAAACATAAACACCATAGGACTCATGAACAGTGCAATACGGAAGCGTAGTAGGGCCACAGTGAAAAAGGTTTTTGGTCTTACTATCTCCTACGTAGTACTTAATAACTCCTACGTAGGACTTAGTATCTCCTACGTAGGACTTAATATCTCCTACGTAGGACTTATTTCTCCTACGTACGACTTAATATCTCCTACGTAGGACTTAGTATCTCCTGTAGGAGATGATCGATATATGTTTATATGGCTTAATCTGAAACGGTCGACTTAAAGCCCCAGACACGCACACAATCTCCTGGTTCACTGTTTCAGTCACTGTAAGAGTCTACAGTCATTCGTTTCATTCACTATTAGAGTCTACAGTTATGTGTTTCATTTACTGTTAGAGTCTACTATCATGTGTTTCAATTTGCTATTAGAGTCTACTGTTACCTTCACTATTAGAGTAATGTGTTCAACTAATTGTTGCACATTAGTACTGTGTTGGACCGACTGTTATACTTTACTGCCTTGCGTTCAGTTTACTCTACTATTACGCGTTGCAGTTAGTTCACTGTTATATATTGCACTTGGTTACACTTTACTATTATGCACTGGCTATTTCAGAGGTCGTTGCACATGAATCATAATCTGCGTGTACAGACGTGTCTTAGACTATAGGTGGCAATCTATGTGCACGTATCCCCTTATATTTATACAAATAACTTTAATGACAATTCTTTGCCTTTTTGAATTTCGTATTGTTTTACGCCGCACTCAACACTTGTCCACCCCAGTCAAGTCAACCTGTAAACAATTACGAATAAAACCGCAAACGAGCGTTGCATCCGATCCAACCTAGCCCTATAAAGACAAGCAACAACTTGCGGAGGTCGTGTTATAACCCGAGTTTCATATCACAACCTCACCCCAACCATCCCACCCACCTCTCTTTGTGTGTGTGTGTGTGTGTGTTTGTGTGTGTGAATAGATGTATGTATGATAGATTAAACATAACCATACCCAAACCTCCATAACTGCAATTAGAACAGGGTCCACGTCACCCTAACGTAATACACACACGATAACACTGTACAGTAAAACCGCGTTAGTGTCATGAATATTCACTGACTCTCATTTCAACTATCTAACGTCCTGCATAGCCAAACATTTCTCAACTTAATAACCATCCTTAAAAAGGAGATACTAAGTCCTACGTAGGAGATACTAAGTCCTACGTAGAAGATACTAAGTCCTACGTAGGAGATACTAAGTCCTACGTAGGAGATACTAAGTCCTACGTAGGAGATATTAAGTCCTTCGTAGGAGATAGTGACCCCCCAAAAAAATTTCACCGTGGCCCTACTACGCTTCCGTAGTGCAAAACCTTTTGTATAATGAATCACGTTTTAATTCATTGCTACATGAAATTGCTATTTTCATGATGCGTTTCTTTTTTGGGAGAGTATATATACATACATAGTAAAGTTGAACAGTAAGTGATTGGTGTTTGCACAATTAATGAGGTTAATGTACAGGGTTGGAGGATGTTTACACAAGAAGGCAATTGTTACACAGAGTAAGCTATGGGGGATTATTGGGAGGAATCCAGTGATATGACAGACAGGAAAATAATGGGATTAAGATTACTTGGTGATGAGTTGGTTGTAGCCAGTGGGGATGTAATATCCTTGGTCTCTGTTCATGGCCGGTTGGAGTCTCTTGATGTGAATGGCTTCTAGTAGCTTTCTAATCTTGTAGTGGGTGTGATTACTGGTGAGTACATTGATGCTGTTCCATAGGATGTTGTGGTGTTGGGTGAGCTTGGGTGTGGTCAGAGATGGCAGATTTGGAGTCTTTCACAGAGGATTGATGTTCTTTGATTCTTACAGGGAGGGGTCTTGAGGTTTCACCGATGTACGTGTCTCCTCAGTCACACTGTATGTGGTAAACTGTGCCTGAAGGGTCTACTTTAGTTGTGGGGGTTGGTCTTCCATTGGCTTTTAGGTTGTTTGAAATTCCGGGTCAGAATACATCCCCGAAACATCTGCTATATTAAAAGGGGACCGTGACAATCAGGTAGTCAGGCTCGTTGACTTACTTGAATGAGTGTCATCATTACACAACAACGTGATTCGGTGCTCTCAACATTGACCACTTTCATGTCTGATTCGATTATTGACAGACAGCCATTATATGCCTGGAACGATACTTAAAACAAACAAAGCAAACCACTCCTCTGAATCACTTTAATGTGTGCATATTCGTTTTTGTATCGTATTTTATTTGCTTGTCGCATTTTGTTGTTCTGGATAAACTCGGCTATTGTTATTGAATCTGGTCCTGATTCTGATGGCTGATGGTCCGTGGCCTTTCATCCTTAATGTCAATATCCTGGGTAGACAACAGGTACAGTCCTTTCAGCTCGTAGTGATCACTCATCTGCAAATTCATAACACAAATCCCCATGGTCCCTAGTATGGTGATCTACCTTTGGTCGTTGGCAATCTATAGCCTGTTTTTAAATTGTATTGTCATTTATAGTCAAAATATTTTAGATTTAATTACTAGTTTTAAATTCATTTCTGTGACAGTTATTTTACTGTCCTTTGCAGACAGGTAAGTATATTAGCTAACCTTGTTTTTATTTGTATACTGTGGAAGTCCGTACACGTATACTGTATGCTCCGTATTGAGAAACTGTACATCATAGGACCACTTTTGTATACTGATTACAGATTGGTCAATCCTAGTTATTTCTTTTATCCTTAATGCCGAGCTGACAGGGTTACATCAAGTACCATAATTATAGGTATGTTTGTATGACACGATCGGGAATTGAATCTCAATCCACTTGATCACTAGGATGATTGTAACTGTTAGGTATGAAATATAATGTTATTCAGTGTGATTACAAATGGGTGTTAAAATGACGAATATCGAGTGTAATACATGTTATCCGTGTAATTGAGACCTGCCAGTATTGTTATCACTGCTATTGCCAACACTGGTTCAAGTCCGATTACCAGCGCTATTGAGGACCATCAGCGCTGGCTACCACTGCCAATGAGGATCTTCCATACTGGTTACAAGTGTCACTGGTGTCCTTCCATATAAATAACCAGTACCATTAAATATGCACCTTGAAACTAGCAGCGCAATACCTACGATTTTAACCCCCATGTAACTATCCATATTCATGACACACTTATTCTTGGTTGTGTGATTATTTTGACCCTTCAGGTGCACCATACATTGATCTGTTTTAATTCAGAAGAATCTTGAAAATGACTACATAGAAATATTTTTGAGGGTCAGTTTATCT